CTAATGGGTATTAACTTTAGGGATGAAAAAGATGTGGTTAGTAATAAGGCAGTAAAACCTGTAGAGGAAAATAATGAGGTTAAAGTCCTTCTGAACACTTCTGAATTGATCAGACTAGGAAGGGCTGCATAGTGGAGAGAATGTTTTTTACTAGCATAAGTAATAGCAGCCATATTGGAAAGCATGGCAGATGAGTAACTCATATGGTTGTTTTTAGTTTAGAAAATTATGCACTGAATTTTTTAAATGCCTCTTCTAAACTGAAATCTTTCTTTCAACTTCAGTGTGGCAAATGCAGTGCAACTGCAATATCAAGATTTTCTTGGAGTGTCTTAGTTGCTTTTGTTGCCACACAGCAGCAACTTCAAAGTAAAGCCAAAAAAAAAGTACTGAATTGTTCGACATATAGTAATTCTTCAGTATTTTTTCTTCTGTATTTTTCTGTATTTACATGCATTAAAAGTTGCATTTTCTTGGAGTTCATGTTAACTACACATTTTATGCTCTATCCTTTGTAACAGTTGTGCAGTATAAGCTCTGCAGTTTACCTTGCAACTATTTTCTAACATGTAATTTTAATATTATTAATCTGAAGGGGGTAATTGCTCTGCTCAGATGATTATTGATTTATTAATAATAGTATAAATACTCATGTAATAATAGTATAAATTAACATAATTAAATGTTAATGATAAATTTGCTATAAATATTAATTATAAAATAAGTAATTTTGTTTTAGATAAGTAATTTTGAAACTTTTTTGTTATTATTCACTTCTACCGAAAAATTAAGGAGTTTGAAAGTTCATACATTGCCTGATTTTTATTTTTTTTTCCCCCACTTGCGTTGTGTATTCTTTTATAGTTTCTTGCAGAGTCAAAATAGATACCCTGCAATGGGTATATGGAGTGTATATTTCATTCTCTGTTCGTGAACTTTATCTAACGGGCTCATTCACTTCCTTATATTTCTTCTGAATAGAGTGTAATTATTCAGAATTTCTTGCCATACAAAACAGGACAGTGAAGATTCGGCTCAGATTTCATGGCTCATCTCACTTACTACGTTTCTTTGGTTTATTTAAGGGCATTGGGCGTTTCAGTGACAGACTATACGTTTGAAGACTGTCAGCTAGCTTTGGCCGAAGGACAACTTCGTCTACCTTCAGACACATGCCTTTTAGAATTTGCAAAGCTTGTGAGAAGCCTTGGGTGAGCATATGCAATATTTATGTATAAGGTGCATCTGTGCTATATAACTGTGTTTATATTTTTTTCCTCATATAACAATATTGCACTTATGAATGCAAATGGAATGTTGTCATGCCACAGTTGCACATGCACAGGAAATGCTAATAAAAAAGTTAAGGCAGTACTGTACTAGAGGCAAATGTTCCACACCCAGCTTCAGAGGTGAAAAGAATTTACTTGGGCCAGCAGAAGAAAACAGCCCTAGATCACTTTAAAAATCGTTCACTTGTTTTTCCTCACCTTCTAGTGGGAAATCAAGTCATCTCTTTAAGGGACAAGGAAAGGTAGGGAGATCCTTTTTGGCTTATCTGAACAGGAAAGCTATGCAATTATTAGCTGCTACATACTTGAGAGATCTCCAGGCTTTTTCCCCTGACTGGAAAGCTGTCTTAGGTGTAAGCAAAGGCTCTAGTTCTGTACTGGCCTTAAGACTAGAATGGGAACACGTGTGTGGGAGGGAATTTTCCCACATTGTAAGAGAAATTGCAGGTTTTTTCCACTTGCAAGCAGCACCCCTACATCCTAATGAGTACAGTAGGTTGTAAAATTCATTTTGTCGTAGTCTGGCAACTTAGCAGCATGTCTTTGAAGTATTCGTTCCTGAATGAAAGTGGAAGTAGAAGATCCCCCCCCGAAGACGGCCAGCGATGCTGTGGGATTCCTAATATTTGATACAGTTTAGGAGTCAATTGACCTTCCCTCTAACATCTCTGAAGGGAGAACAGTGCTGCCTTAACATGATCCCGTGACTAGGTTACTGCCATAGTGAAGGCAGGGGGAAAACCCCTTTTATATAATAATAAAGAAATGGTTTATCTTTTCAGTGGTTACTGCTAGATGTGCTTTAGCATAGTTTGAGCAGTGTGACTCGTCTCGCCTCTCTTCTGACATTAATTTCCTCTGATTTTTACCTTTCAGAAAAGCTTCAGCAAACAGTAAAGAATTCACATAAACCAGGCATTGAGCTTATTGCTTCTTTTCTAACTGTTCTCCTGCATTTCTCTTCTCACCCTATCAAACAACCACAAACTAATCTTACAGCTTCAGCCTTTTAACTGCTTGAATGTTTAGACACACTTTCATCTTTTTTTGTCTCCTCACCTGAAACTGCAGTGCATAGTTTCATGTTTCCATTCCACGTTTTAATTATTTCCTATCACTAATTTTCTTTCATCTTCCAGCTTGCGCACATCAGTAGATCTGTCTCCTTTTTTTATTTGATAATAAGGAACGTAGGATAAAGGAAGGGGTGACAAGCTTTGATTACTTTATTGTAGGGACCTTTGTCTGAAAAGGCTTCCAGTAGGATAGAAGAGACTTCTAAAGGGACTCAGGAAGGTTCTTTGCTTTGTTCCAAAGACTCCGAATTTAACTGTCTTCAACAACAGAAAAAAAATCAACAACAGAAAAAAACCACTGCCACCACCAAGAAACCCTCCTATGGTGCAGCTGATAATCCTGGGATTGAGTTTAATCTTCTTGTAACATCGTCCAGCTTTTCTGTCTGCTCAATTTACAGCTATTTTCTCAAATTATGCTTTTCTGGATTCCTTGTTTTTTTTCAAAGGCCTCTAAAACAATTATGTGCGTTTGAGTGAGGTACCCCACACCCTAGAAGTTCTGCCTGGTTTGAGCAGTTGTATGTTTGGTGCAATACCCAGTGTTGATCCAAATATGTGCCAGTAAGACCATTACCATGGTTATTTTTCTGACACAAGTTTGATGGACTTTGCAATAGGACTGCATCTCCATCAAACATACAATAGAGGTGCAGACATTTTGATGTTTATTCAAAGGTTTTGAGGCCAAGGAAGCATTATGATCATCCACTTGCATTCCTGAATAACTTATTCAATGATTCAAAATTTATTCAATGATTTTTGCATCCAGTCCTAATACTTATTTTTGAGCAAGAACATGCTGTCTAGGAAGCATCCAGTTTTAAATTCAAGATTTTAAGTAAGGTAAATCCAGCTTCATTTTTGTTTTGAATTATTTGAAATCATGTTATACCTCTGCTGCACAGGAAAGTCGTTTTGGTTCGTGTGATATATCTACGGGGCTCATTAACGCTGTCCATAAAGTCTGCTCAGTTTGTGTTCCAGTCAGCTGGATGGGAGCCAACCCCAATCCAGAAGCCATGTAGCAACAGTGGTGTGGTTCCATGCTTCATCTAATGGGCCCCTAAGAGTATTAGTTTGGGCTCCGTGCTAACACAGCTGTACCGTTTCCAGGTCACAGCTGGCTGAAACTCAGCAGTCTTGTACTCCGCTCCATGGTGAAACGACTGTTGTATTGATGAGATCAGTTTGTCCGTCTCAAATTCTGGGTTCATTATTCCTCAAACAATTAAACTTTTGTTGAACCTGATAATATATTTAACTAAAAAACAGTTTCCTGAACTGTATGCAGTCCTTACTGAAGGTTTCAGAAATGGTGAATCCTCTGTTTTATTTGGTGACTTATTCCCACGATTAAATGGCCCACTGTCTAAAGTGATTCTCCATTTGTACTTAGAATATATATCATATTCCAGACACTGAAGCTTGTTAAGGTTTTCTGACTAGTTAAAGACCTCTTTGGATATTTTCTCACTGAGAAAGTGTTAATACACAATAATTAAAGCACATCTCCATCTTTCTATGAGATAAACTTGTTTGAGCTGCTTAAGAGTCTCCTTGCAGGCAACTACTCTGAAGTTCTCATTTGATTTGTCCCCATAGTCTCAAATCTCTGTTCACTCTAATTTGTCCACTCACTTTGCCCAAGAACTATGATGACTCCTTAGCCTTGAGTTAGGGTTCTGTAAGAAAGTAACAATTACTGGTCGTCATTGTCTTCGCAGAGAAGAATTTTCTAATTTTTTTGGTCATGATTAGTCTCAGTTGTAACTTTTTCATCTTCTGAAAATATTAGATATCTGTCCTTTTTAAAAAAAAAAAAAAAAAAGCCAAATACAGTACATGTTGCAACCCTAACTTAGTAGAACATTTTTTCCAATGCTTGATGTCTTATTTCAGCCATCTTACCTCCTACCTTTTTGTTTTCTGTTTACATTTGATTTTCCTAAAGGGCACACATCTTTTAATTACTGTGTTTTGACTGCTCTTAGACAAGTTTTATAAAATCAGTCTTGATGTGGTCTGAAATGTTACTGAAGTAATTTTAGTGACAGGTCTTTTGCATTGTTGAAAAAAAAAATTGGTAGCCTCAACAGACCTCTAGCCAGATTAAGGATAATCTGTTTGCTTATCTCTTGCCAAAGTGCCTTTTTCCTCTCTTATCTCCTCCAGCATTGTTTTGCCTTCTCTCTACCCTTTAATCTGTTAACATTTAGTACTGCGCTATTTACTCGATTACTTTTTTTTTCTTCCACTTAATACCTTGGTTATGATTTGGGACTTCTAGCAAGGATCAATTTCCTTTTGTTTCAGTCATCTTTGCTTTCTACTCCCTAATTTTTAAGATTCTCACTTCTCATTTTCTTGAATGCCAAGCAGCACTAATACTTGTAGTTCAGGATGTCATGTTTTCTCTTCTAGTACATCAGTTAGCTTACACTCTGTGCATCAGAAAGCAAAATATAAGTACAGTAAGAACATAATACAGTGCTGTGGTACAAGTGTGTGTTCTATTATTGATACGTATATGGCACTGGATTCTTTGGTTTGAGGGATTCTTGACCTGATATGATGCATTTGGTATACAGGCTCTGGGGTTCTTTGCTTCTCCCTAAAGACATGATAGCTGTACTTATGCTCATTTCTTTTAAACGGTTTGGTTTATACCGTATCTTCTTTTTCAGATCATATTGCAAAAAAATCCCTTGCTCTTGCCCTATAGATTTCTTAGTTTTTTCACAATAGAATTATTCTAGGTTAGTTCAGTAATGTTTATCTTTAACGATGGGCAGTGATTTCTTTTAGAATTCTTTTTGTATCCTTAGCAGTCCCCTTTGCTTTCCTGGACTCAAATATTGCTGCTGTCTTGGACCCACTTGATGGGTACTGGAAATGTCTGTTGCACTGAACAATTGTCTGTCCCCAGAAGAGTGTTCTTCAACCTTAGAAAACCTGCAAGGTTTACTTCCTTTACTTCCCTTGCGCTGGTGAAATTCAGTGTTAGTAAACCTACTTGTTTTAGAATCTCAATCAATTCCGCCCCTTTAAAAACCTTAGTACTGTGTTAAGAATGAACTAAATGAAGTAATACTTCTGTCCTGACCACCACTCCAGAATACTATTCCAACTAGTTGGCCACAAGGCTCCTACTTGGCTCTGCCCGTATATTTGTATGGTGGCTCATAAGAGCCACAAGCAGGAGATAATTAGCTCACAGGCTTTGTTCCCTTCTGCCCTTGGTCAACAATCTTTACCATCCAGACCACCATGCCAGTTTGTGCTCTCTGTTTCTGCCTGAAGCTGTGGTCCAAATTGTATGTACAGCTTTGCATGCGTGCAGTAGTAACTCCTCCCAGCTAACCTACACTTGGCACACTCTGAAGTCACACAAGAAAATACCTCTGGAGGATGTTCTCCACTTCCATTCAGGGAGAAAGCAGTACTGTCCATTACAGCAGGGGATCATGGATCTGGCTCAATATAGCAAATACCAACCACAGTAGCCCTTCTCTCATAAGGAAGAGGCAGGGTATGCCAGGGTATTCGGAAAATCAGTTTTGCAGCTCTTTAGTATTCAGTCTCCTTTAAGGCAAGAAGTCATGCAGAACATCAGCTGACATAAACAGAAATGTGTTTTACTTGTTTGGCTGAAGGCATGTTTCTCTGAGCTTGCAATTTACAGTGGTTAGCTACAAGATCCAGCTGTTCACATGCAACTTCCAGCTCTGAGATACTAAGGTTTTGTGCTGGCAGGTGCCCAGCATGCAAGAAGTTTGTTGTCAAATGCAGCTAAAACTAGCTAAAGCATCTCACTTGCTAATAATTGTAGTTGTGCAGAAAATATCCTGCCTTCGGGAATCTGGTTTTCCTTGTGAAGTCTACTGTGAGAGATTTAATGTTCAGAGCTGTTCATTGTGGAAAATGCATCCTTTCCATCTTTAGGAACTTGGGGATGACTTTCATGCCAAAGTGCTCAGCTAAAGAGAACAGAAAAATGAAGCAAAACACCATAACAGCAAATGACGCTAGATCCTGCAAAGTCTAGATCCTGTCCTATTTAGAGATCATTGAAGCCATTAGGCAAACAAACGTGATTTCATGAGCAAAGGCGTAACAGCAATTTTAAATGAACTGAGAGATTCAAACCACTTCATGTTAATTCAGCGCTAATCTCAGAACAAGAAACTCTTGTGGGATTTGGAACACTTGGCTTCAAAACACTTCAGCACAGTAGGTCACGGTCATCCACCCAGCAATTACCTTCTGATTCTGAAAGAGGCAAGGGAGGTGACCCCACCTTAGGTTGCCAGGATGTACATGCATTCATATTAAAGTTGAAGCTAAAAATATGTTTACCTCACTAATCCACATACTTTTGAGGGGATTAGCTCACTTTTTTTTTTGTATATTTATAATTCCAAACCACAAGATGTCTATAAGATTTGTGATAGGCCACAGCCACTTTCTTATACAAGGTTTTGCTCTTCAAATTTTTAACTATTCAGACTACTCTAGTTATTTTTTGGTGGAGAGGAAATCCCATCAAGACTCAAATGCTGTTCATGAAATGAACACTTATCTGTTCCAGAAGGTAGATTTTGAGTCATTCCATTTTGAATCAAATCTCTGTGGTTCACAGAGACAGATGTTAGATTGTATATTCTGTGTTAGTGATGGCTTATCTGAAGAGAGGATTCAGAAGCCAGCTGTCCTTATCCTACAGTTAGAATTCATTTCTGCTACTACAGTGGGGATGCATATTTGCTGACTAGGATTAGTGGACTTTTTTTATGTAATGCCACATGTTAGAAGCAGAGTTCTCTGTGCATCTCAGACCCTCCATGGATGCCTTTGTTGCTGTTCCTGCTAGTCTTCTATTAGACCAGGGGAAGTGAATGCCTTCAGGGAACGAGTCTTCCTGCTCTTTTTATATTGTCAAGGGCTAAAACAGATGATAGCTGCCTTACTGCCAGGATGGAGAACAAATATGACTGTTTTTCAAGGACTGTAGATCTCTGTAAGAATAGATGCACATTCAGGTCTTATAATTTGGGAATACAGGGCATAATCGCTTAGTACATTTTAGGCAGGTTAGTTAAGGTATTCAGACTTGTGAATCGCAGGATTGTTCAGTCATTTTC